GGACATTGCAAGCATCTCTTTTCAAGAACTCTTCCTGGATGATTTCACACACAAAATAAGCTACTGCCCGATCATTGTGAAAAAGCCAAATTAAAATTTATTTACACTCAAAACTTTCCATTGCTATTTTGCAAGAACAGATAAGTTTTCATGTGTACCAGTAAAATTTATAGATTTTAAAACCAGAAGTGATCAAATTCATCATGTAGCTAGTCTGTTTATTGACACCATGCAAACCATTAGACTTAGTGGGATTAATCTGTGCTATTTATTTCCAAAGTTTGTGCAGTATGAGCACTAAAGGGAGTGGCTTCCTGATGCCAGTGAAGTAAGAAAAGACTGTGAGAAAAAAGTATCTAGAACATTTAAAAGAATATTTTGATATTGTTCCTTGGACCAAAGAGAATGGTAGAATACTAATGACTAAAATGTAGTTAACTTCCACCAGTTGTGCTACAACATTTCAGTTTACATCTCAGTGTAAGTCAAGTCTCTCTTAAAACAAAAATGAATCAATGACACAGGTTTTTTATTGTTTTTTTTTGTTTGGCCAGTTGTTTGTTTGTTTGTTTGTTTGTTGCTTAAAATATTGCACAGAAATCATAAAGGCATGTTACTGATATGAAGTAGTTGCATAAAACCTATATGGAAACGAGAGACTTGCCAAAAAAAATCACAGATTTTTTTAAAATATAAATTTTAATTCTTGTGAAAAAGTCTTAAAATATACATATTACACAAATACTTTCCATGACAAAAAGGAAATGAGAAATTAAAACTAAAAAAAAAAAAAAAAGGCACAACATAAAATTACCAACGATTTTCAATAGCGCTCACAGGAAAAAGGATTGGAAACTAAATTTTGAAATCTAACTAAGTATATGGTTTACTTCAGGAAGAGTTTAAATAAAGCAAATTCTAAAAACTACACTTGTGGTCACTATAGGATTTTGCCAGAAGAAAACTGTAAACCGTCTCATTGCAAAGCTGAGATGTCACCATTGTACCACAGCTTAGCGATTGTTGGAAGGAAAGCTTGATCATATTGAAGACAGGTTTTCCCATAAAGATGAGGAGTTAAAAAGAATAGTTACATTTCCTGCTCTCATACTGCACACATTGGTACAGAAACATTGCTTGTGATAATGAAGACCTATTTTCAACCCTCTGAGAAGACAACAGCAAGATGTTGGTCCTCTGACGAAGAAAGAATGTTCTGTTCTTCCTTTGTTGTGACTACCAACCGTGCTATTTATCAACTGATAGCCATGAGCAATGCTGGCATTGCTAGCCACATAAATACAGCTGCAATCTTTTCCCTTTCCTCTGAGAATGTTATGCTGTCTTTTTATAAATGTGGGTAAGACAAAGTGTGCAGAACATTCATGCAAGGAGAATTCAACTTTGAATTCCAAGACTGCAATATGTTCAGAAGCAGGTTTCTAAAAAGATATGTGAAACTGCAGTTTGAGAATTAAGGAACAAAAATATAAGTTTAAAACCAGTAGTTAAAGTATGCTTTTGGAGTGAGATTTACAGCACTCAGGAAATAAATAAGTAAATAAAAAGTGTCAGGTTTTAAGCAGAGGGCTTTTCCAGGGCATCTGAAAAAAAGTTTTTGGGGAAAGGCTTACTGGGCTGCTGCAGACTTACAGCTTATGACTTCTCTGTGACACTCCTGTGATAAATCTCCCAACCTCTGATTTTAATATCCAACACAACTGTCTTAGCAGCTGCATTTAGCATTTTGATATATACCCTTAGACAGTGCCTCCCACAGACTGTCCCATAATCACTTTCCGGTTCAAAACACCTAACACAAGCAGTGTTTCAGAATGCAGGCAATGCAACAAAAATGCTGGTACTGGTTCAGAGCAAAGGTCCGGGTGAAGTCAGTACTCTGTCTCCACGAGGGGCTTTAAACAGGTGCCAAATGTGACAAGCACATGTTATTTCCCTCTAACATCCTTCTCAGAGGCAAAACAAATTTGAACAAAAAACTTCAGAACAGGACTCTTTTTTTTTTTCCCTGTGCATTTCAATAAGTGAATTGTTCTTGCTGAATCTCCTCTTGCACCCAGACAAAATTCTAGTAAGAATTCAGTTTTACATGCCCATTCTTAGTGAAATAACATTGGTGCTACCACAGGAATTCTTGAAAAAATAAATAACAGATATCAAGTATTACACTCTAGAGAGGATTTAGAGAGAAATGACTTTCTAAATTTAACACCTTTCTGTGCACTTTCCACCCAGCAGCTATCTAAATTCTCCAAGTGCTTGCTTAACACCTGTGCAGTTCCCTTCATTCCTGTTCTACAGTTGCTCACAATGTCCTCAGTCTGAGTAACACCATGAGAAAGAGAAAACAAACAGGAATGCAGAACATGGCAGCAAGGACATTCAGTCAGGAATGGACAGGTTTTAGCTTGGGATCACAGAATCCCAGAATGGTTTGGGCTGGAAGGGACCTTAAAGCCCCCCCAGTGCCACCCCCTGCCATGGGCAGGGACATGTTCCCCCAGCCCAGGCTGCCCCCAGCCCCATCCAGCCTGGCCTTGGGCACTGCCAGGGATGGGGCAGCCACAGCTCCTTTGGGCAGCCTGGGACTCACCACCCTCAGAGTAATGAATTTCTTCATTACATCTAATCAAAATATACCCATTTTTAGTTTGAAACCTTTACCCCTTATTCTATCCCTACACCCCCTGACACAGGATCCCTCTCCAGCTCTCCTGTAGCCCCCTTTAGGTACTTGGAGGTTGGTGTGAGGTCTCGCCAAGGCCTTCTCTTCTCCAGGCTGAACAATCCCAGCTCCCTCAGCCTGTCTCCACAGAAGAGGTTCTCTAACCCCTTTGATCATCCTTGTGGCCTCCTCTGGACTTGTACTAACACTTCTGTGTTCTCCTTGTGCTGCGGGCCCCAGAGCTGAGTGCAGGGCTCCAGTTGGGGTCTGACGAGAGCAGAGCAGAGGGGGGCAATCCCCTTGCAGCCCAGGGTGTGGTTGGCTTTCTGGGCTGCCAGCGCACATTGCTGGCTCATGGTGAGGTTCTCATCCACCAACACCACCAGGTCCTTCTCCTCAATCCACTCCCCACCTAGCCTATATTTGTGCTTGGGATTGACTGGGCCCACGGACCTTACATTTGGCCTTGTTGAACTCCATGATGTTTGCACGGGCCTATCTCTCAGGCCTGTACAGGTCCCTCTGGATGGCATCCCTTTCTTCTTGCATGTTGACCACACCACACAACTTGGTGTCATCAGCAAACTTGCTGAGGGCACACTTGATCCCACTGTCCATATCACCAAAAAAAAATGATAAACAATGCTGGTGCCAATACCGACCCCTGGGGAACACCACTCATCACTGATCTCCACCTGACATTGAGCTGTTGACTACAACTCTTTGAGTGCGACCATCCAGCCAACTCCTTACCCACTGAGTGGTCCATCCATCAAATCCATGTTTCTCCAATTTAGAGACAAGGATGTCATGCAGAACACTATCAAATGCCTTGCATAAGTCCAGGTAGATGATGTCTGTTGCTCTTCTCCTATTCACCAGTACTGTAACCGTTTTTGTAGAAGGCCACCAGAATTGTCAGGCAGAGCCTTACAAAGGAGCACTGAACAAGGTACTGTTTTTATATTTTCCTCTAAATTTCTGAAATAAAGACTCTTGGAAGCCCAAGCTCAGTTGAGATCTGAAGCCTAAGCAAGTAGTGGGGAGCTACAGGTGTGCTCCCTCCCGACCTGAAGGATTTTGTACAGTTCACAAGACTGCAATAAAAGCTCTTCTTCCTGACACACTTACAGTGCCTTGCTAAAACTACTCGGTTCAGAACCTGGATTTTCACCTCAGGAGACAAATGTCCCATCCCTTGTTTACTTTAGATTTCTTTATTATGGGAAAAGCAACTACAGTTCTTTTCCTTGCAAACAAACCAACACATTTATAATCACATTTTTGCTCATTTAGAAATAATACCAATGGCAGATACGACTGAATTACAACAAATCATTCAGAAACTGAGCAAGTTATATGGATGTCTCTCCAGCTCATCAAACAAAAACATTTGGGTATCTTTATTTTTAATGAATGTCTGGCAAAGCTTGATAAGCTATCAATACATCTAGAGGAAGAATATAAATAAAAAACGTGTTCTTGCAACAGTGAGAATATTAAAATTTTAGTTGTGGTGACATAAATATCAGAGAAATACCAGGGAGTATTTGAGACCTGAAATCAGCCAAGTAACCTCATCAAGTTGACACAAAAAGACTCTGTATAATACTATTTTTTTTTTAGTTGCAGTCCTACTATTGCTTTTCCTCTCTCACAAGGAATATGTTTTGACAAAAGCCCAATATGTTAGTCAGAATTATCAGGCTGAAATAGCTGCCTGGAAATGAATTACTGGCTGACCTAACTTAAAATAAGAATTGAAGTTGCATGCAGAGTCACTGAGACAGCCAGCTGTGTTCCTGTGGGTCAAAATATCCTTCAGAAATTGTTTGTGGTACATGTCCCAGTGCAAACTGTAAAACACCAACATGTGATCCACAGATTGGCCAACAGGTAACACCTGTACACATCAAATAGAGAGTTGTTGTCTTTAAGCACAGATCCATTATTTATGTTAAGCAGTAAAGGAACAAAGTAAGTAACTAGTGAACAAGACAGCAATAACGTACTTAGTTAAATTAAGTCTTTATTAGTTTGAAACTTCCTCAAAATGAAGGCAAATTAGGTAATAGTACAATTAAATCAATGTTAGCTAAATCTTATTTCTCTTCCTGTGTGGGTTTAGTGGGCCTTACTTCCTTTTACTGTGTGCTTTTGAGTCACAGAATTTCTACATAGCTTTAAACAGAGTTTAACTAACACAAAATGCAAACTTTAATTGTTAATTGAAACTTTAATAATCTCACTTAAATTTAACCAACAGACAGAAAACTTCCCAACATTAAGGCTGTGTTTACCGGCACACACTTACCTCCACGATCCCTTGCTGCTAAATTCTGTCCTCTTCTTAAAGTAATGTCCAACTGGTACATTCCGGGATCCTCAGAGGGAAAATCTGCATTACTAGCTCCAACTGAACTTGTTTTCTGGAGGAGAAACAAATAAAAATACAATAGCTACTGTTACAACAAGTTTCAGTAAGGTGTATTTTTCTATGGTATTATCATCCGATTGAATTAAGACAAGAATGTGTCCCATTCCTTCACCTTAGAACTAACAGTCCAGCACCAAAGAACCCATGCCTGTCTTCAGCACAACAGTTCCTTAGCATCCCGTTTTAGTTCTTTTTCATTTTTTAAATAGGTTTTTGACTTTTCAATGGTTAAATTTGTAAATTAAAGAAAATGTTTGAAAAATGATTCTTTGATATTTGTATTTACTACGTTAACCTCCATTTTTAATTGCATTCACATTCATTCCTGGTCTGCTAGAGCAGAATAAGAAAAAAAAAAAAAGAACAAAAACAAAACAAAAAAACCCTGAACCTTGCAGTGCTGTTTGAACTAGTAATTATCAGTACTCTTAAACCCTGCATTTATTCATCAGTGGCAATCTAGGCATTGACTAAACATAAATGTGATACAATTGTGGTGGCTATTATAGTGCTTTGCAAATTATGCGATTTTAACACAGAGTTATGAAGGAGATTGGTGAAAAATATCCTGAAGACAATAAATGTAGTTATATCCCTTCATTTGTAATACATAAATTTTGGTCTGCCTGCAGGTAGGGGCAAAGACAAGATTCTCAGAGTAGTTATTTGTGTAAATTGTATCAAGAGAATTAAAAATAAATAAATAAATAAACTAAGTCAGAAGCAAAGGAAGTCTCTGGAGCATGTGAATAGGAACTACATTTCTGTCTCAGATGACAAAGGAGAGAAATTGTATTTCCTTCTAGATTTATACAGTTCATGCTTTGAACATCACATTTAATTTTAATACTAGAATGGCTGTATCTATTATACATACACAGCATTATATATACAGCAGCTTCAGATATTATATACAGAGCACCGACATTAGATAGTCTTATGCTAGGATGTAAGTCTTCTAAGACTAGTGCCATTAATACTTTGTTATAAGATTATAGCTCCCCTGTAAGAAAAAAAAACAAATAAAAAGGCAGCAGCAGCATGATAGAAATATGTTGGACTATGCATGAAGTCCTACACCACTGGAAACTTTTGTTATTTCTATACCTAGTGCCCTTAATTTCTTTTTAACGTATTAATACATGAAAGCATGAAGAAAATCACAAAATAACAAAAATTTAATATATGCTTTACTCTTGTAATTGCAGAGTCGCACCTGAGCCTAATATGTCAACCTTTGTTGCAACACATCCAGTGCTAGCCAAACCACATAGCAGGATGCTCACCAGTTCCAAAGAAATTAAATTCTTCAAAACTACTGTACTTCAGGGAAAATGGTTAGATGAGCTTTGACTGGAGAGGGAAGATGTTGAAATCTCTCAACATTTATCTTTTGTTCTTGTAAAGTAACTGCTGAGCATGTCTGAAACTATCAAAAGACCTTGTAGCACTAGAACAGAAGTCATCCACCACTTCCTTTTAATGGATTAACTCCTCTGTGTATCCCTCGCTGTCTATCTCATTCTTAAAAATTACTGACCACAGGCAGTTACAAGACCAAACATAACAAAAACTGAATTTCCACCCTGCCTTGTAAGGGTATGTAGAAGGAGATAGTCTGCTCCCCTAAGAGTACCTGGTCAAGGACCATCTTCCAAGGCAGGAGGGATAGCAAGAAAGGGAGGCAGTGATGGGAACCACATCTGGTCAGCCACACTTCTTTATAAGAGCAGGAGAGAATGAGACACGTTTATCCTAGTGGGGTTACCTTACAGAGGGCATGTAAGCCAGGAGGCCTTCACCAGGAGGAGGCCCCCTGTCTCAGAAGGGGCAGGCTGATGAGCTACCCGCACGTCACCCTTCATTCACCGAGGAAGGATGAACCTTGCAGCTGGTAAGGTGTGACCAAAGGCCCCAGGCCATCTGGGTGCAGGAAGGGCAGAGCTCTGCAGACCTGAACTGGTGAACTCCTGCCTCTACCTGACAGAGAGCAGGCTGGGGGCTCAGCCGCCTGTGGCTATCTCCACGAGAGTCCCACGTGTGAGTACTGTTGACCAGGGCAGCCTTTGTGGCTGATCATATCAGGGTCTATGTGTCCTGGTACCAGCTGAACCTGCAGAGGGGACAGCAGCAGCTGCATCTCCCAGCCTGGGAAGGGACCCCAGGACCCTGGGCATGGGGCTGGGTTGCAGCCGAGGGGCAGGAGCAGTGCTGAGCCCAAGCAGCTGGAGGACTCCCATTGCTCTTCACCTCCCTTAACATGCTTCTGCAATGCACAGTATCTAATGTGGCCAGAAATAAGGAAAAAAATCTTACTGGCCTGATTCTCAGGCTCAGCCTAGGCACTGACATTCATCAGGGTGCTGTGTAAGATAAAATGTGACTTCTAAAGGAAGTGATGAACACTGAGATTTTCCTTCCCCTTTCTTGACTTTCTTCAAGAGGCTGTAGATACAAGAAGAACCACGATGTCTGCCAACATACACAGTCTCCTCCCTGATTATTCCTTGTGGTGCCCCTCTCTCACTTCCCTTCTTAGGGGCAACACATGCTATGAATTAAAATTAATGCTATAAATATTTCTGTGTTACTCTCCCTCTCCCTTTCTCACCTTTCCTTCTTTTTTCTTGCAATGGAACTTCACTTTCTTTTTTAACTTTTACTCTAATCAGTTATTCATTCAGAGAGCTGCTCAAGGAGACTAGAAATGCTTAGGTAAGCAATGCAACAGGAGGCCTGCAGGCCATAAACAGTTACACAAATGTTATAAAACCAACAGATATTAACTACCCCTAAGTATTAGGCAGTCAAAGCAGTATTTCTGCATCAGACAAGCAGTATTTGAATTATGTAAGTAAAAATGGAGGTTGACATAATATATCCAACTGTCAGTGAACCATTTTTGACCAACATTTTAAATTTCAAAACTTAACAATTATAATGGCAACTAGTAAAACACCAAGAACTACTTTTGTGCATTCTGCAGTAACGAACTTAAAGTTAGAAATACTTGGACAAGAAACTTGAGAAAATACATCAGATCCTATAATTGTCATCAATACATCAAATATCAAATAATCAAATCAAATATCAAATAATATAATAATACATCAAATCCTACAATTGCTGTAACCATTTGTTTCAAAAACAAATTTTCCTAAATTCCACATTGTACCTAATCATGTCAAGAACAAACAGGGCTGCATGTTCTCAGTAGCCATAAAAATTTAATCACAACTAGAGATTGTTATGAGACACAAAGCTGTTTATTAATGGGTGATGACAGCAAGCCTGATGAGGTAAGGTCATGCCTTTATTTTTGGTGTCTAAAATGTAGGGAAGAACCTGAAAATACTTTTGTTTTATTATATCTTTATGAAAAATATTGAGATTCCAGACAAAGAGCATAAAAGCAATTAACCATTGTTTTGCATAAGTAAAAACTTCTGTGGGAAGGCAATTCCTCAATTAATTCATTTGAACTAATCTTTAGTAGTGATCTGTCACCATCTTATTTTAGAATATTATCTTTAGCTAAATTATGACTTAATTGCCAGACTATACAATTTCCCATAATATCAGAATTAGGTTGCTTTAAAGGAAAGTGCACATACACCAAAGTCTTGTAGACAGTGAATTTTGATAAAGAGTGCAAAGACACTGATCGTCTTGTAAACACTCCATGTGAAAAAGGTCGGGACAAAGGTCTCAATGACCAAACGGTTCATCAGTTGGACTCTTTTGTTAAATAGGTATCATACTAAACTCCCCTGGGCAGTTCTCTTACTGAACAATGTGAGCAACACCATGAGCTGCTTTCACTTTCAGTGAGACATCGATGGTAAGGCTTTCAACAGTCAACCCTTAAAAAGAAGGAATCTGCAGCTACAACTCATTGCTGACTCATAACATGTGAAGAGATGTCCTAACATGCCCAGAAAATGCAATGTTTATTTGAACTGAACATGGAGCTCACACTGGCCACACTTATGATGACCCCTGAAAGTGGCACTCCTATTTTAAAGACCTGCTTCCCTAAGAACCATCTCCATATTATACAAAATTATCTGAAATCTAAAAGAAGACTATTTCAAGAGCATGAAGTCAGGAAAGAGAGAGCCCAATACCAGTTAGTTGCTTTATCAGGTATAAGTTAACTGAACCCTTTTCCATTAGAGGGCTACACCATGCAAGGCCATGATCATAGAGTCATATTATCACACATGGACAATGATGCTTTATTAGACCATCAATCAACAAACAGCAGAACTGATGAATTTCAAATTCCAAAACAACTCAGGAATAGCTGGAAACCCTGGCTTTAGAGCCAGTTTGGAAACTCTGCCATAAAACTGTTCACTGCTAAGCCCTTTGAGACTGACCAAAGTAAAAATATAGGCAAGTATTTGAACCTGCGTCTTCTGTACTATGACGGACACTTCACAGTGTTTTCCAGATATAGCAGTTCAACAACTAGATGAACAAACTATTTTTTTACAGCCAAATAAATGTTGGGCATGTAAGAGGGCTGTAAGATAGTTCACTGCTAGGTACATACTGGGTACATAGCTGCAGATAAAGGGAAAAAATGTCTAATTTTATGGCAGGTTGAATTCTTCCACAGCATGAAGTATTCCTGATGCAGTTCCACTCCAGCACGTGAGAAAAGTGATGATGCTTTGAGACTAATAGGATGGCCAAAACTGCCACCATTCACACACCATATCATTTTTCACAGTTGATTAAAAACACTATAAAACAGAAAAGCACAGTGAAACTGATAATAGTCCCCATGGCATTACCAAATTTCTGACCAAATCTTTTGAAATCAGACTACCGCTTTATGGCTATGAGATAAGAATCAGTAACATTAGCTGTGTTATATTCTTAGAAAACACAAAACAAATTTTCAGGTTCATGCAGCAACCTGTCCCAAGCTGACAGCCTGGAGTTTACTAACATCTGCAAACTATTCATTGCCTTTTCCATCAC